AGCACGGCTGTCTCTCGAGCGTGTGGGGTCCCGGCCTGCCGACTACCTACGATGCACATAGGCACCTCCCTCCAGCACTACTTTCTCGAGGGCATGTGGTCCCGGCCTGCCGACTCGGCGCCTGACACGCCAGTGGTAGTGCCGTGGCGGCTCGCCAAGTCCTGGGGAGGTGGAGACGCTTGTTCTCTCAGGCTCTGACGCGGTCGGTGCAGTGGCGGCTGGTCAAGTCGCCGCGCCTCCTCACGATCTTCGCCAGCGGGGCCCTCCTCTTCGAGCTCTCCTTCGCCGTGGCTCCCTTCAGCGGACGCCTCTCGCCGCTCTGGTGCGCCCACGGCCTCGCCTTCCACGCCGGGATCCTGTGGCTGCAAGGGCTGGACTTCGTGTCGTTCTGGTCCGCCTCGCTGCTCGTGTTTGCCTTCCCGCTCTCCTCCCTCCTCTCCGCCGACTTGCGCCACGCCTTTGAGCATGAGCCGCTAGAAGACGGATTCTTGTGCTCCACCTAGCGATCGAGAGGATACGGACTCAACTGTCCTCGACCGTACTCGGCTGGGTTTTCACTGTAGTCGCCTCCCTCGTATTCGCGCGGTGCTCTGAAGACACAATACGCTGATGTTGGTGTAAGCGCACGTAGGCACGAGCCGCTCTGGCTGCTGCCGGCCGCGCTGTACACCCTGCTGCAGCTTCTGACGGCGGTGTCGCTCTACGACCTCTGGCGCGCGTGTATCTTGCGAGACAGCCCCGACCGAGAGATCTGGCCGAGATCTGGCCGAGATCTGGCCGAGATCTTGCCGTTCGCAAGACCCTTCCGAGACCCTTCCGAGACCCTTCCGAGACCCTTCCGAGACCCTTCCGCGACCCTGCGCAGGCTCGACGACATCCTGCCCTTCTCGTGCTGCCCGATGTTTATGCCCCCGCGGAGCCCGTTCGACCCGCTCCCAAAGTGGCAAACCATGACGACCGCGCCGCTGACGGGCAACGTGCGCCGCTCCGGTCGGATGGCATGTAGATGCCGGATGGCCGTGCCACAACGCCCCACAGCTCATCGGACCGCGAGGCTCAATGCAGCCGCTGTACCCGAGAGGAGCCGAGAGGAGCCGAGAGGAGCCGAGAGGAGCCGAGAGGAGCCGAGAGGAGCCGAGAGGAGCCGAGCCGGTTGAGCCGGGTAGGCTCGATGGAGCCGCTCTACTGGAGCCCGTGTTCGGGCGTCTTCGGACTGAGCCGCGCCGACCTGCAGAAGCTGCCGCAGCGGGTCGTCTGGTTCGGTGAGCGGAGCCGCCGTCGCCGAGCATTGCCACCGTCGCCGAACCGCGCCACGCTCCTCTTGCGAGACATGTCCACTACACGCCCACGACACGCCCACGACACGCCCACGACACGCCCACGACACGCCCACGACACGCCCACGACACGCCCACGACACGTCCACGACACATCCACGAAGCGACACGTCCACGACACGTCCACGACACGTCCTCGCCAGGCTCGACAACGGGGATGCCTCCCGAGGCCGAGCGGTTCGTGCGAGCCGAGTGCCGCGCAAAGCCGTTCCTGCTGTCTGCAGAGGTAGATGCGGGGAGACGACGACGCCCCCCCCCCCCCCGCACTGCAACGAGCGCTCGAGACGACGCGCGCTCGGCTGTAGACAAGCCGTGCGCGCGCGCGGGGCCTCGGGCTCGTAGCCCTTCGACAGGCCTTAGAGTGAAGCCCTCGCATTCCGACGCTGCTGAACGCAGCACCCCACGCTACTACCTGCCCCTCCACTACACACACTGCAGGTTTGCCAACTTACTCTCACGGTTTGCCCGCTCACTCTCACACACACTGCAGGTTTGCCAACTTCGAGCTGAGTGCAGAGCTCAAGTGCCTCCTTCACCGCTGGGTCGACGCCATCAACAGCGGCGAACTCGCGGACGCGTGGGACGGCGCGCGGAGATTCCCCGAGATTCCCCGAGATTCCCCGAGATTCCCCGAGCCTGCCCGAGCTTGCGCGGGACGCGCGGGACACCGCACGCGGAGAGCACCCGAGGTTCCCCGAGAGGCGGTCAGCCCCTTCGGGTCCACCCAGGCCCCTCACCGGCGGCGGGGGCGAGGTGTAGGCGCAAAGATGGAGCAGCTGCTGCAGCTGCAGCAGGCAGGGCTCGACGCGTTTCGCGCGTGCGTGGACAGGCTGCCGCAGCGGACAGCAGGACCACCGGCGGACTGCGGCTTCTCACCCCCGACGGCGGTGCTCAAGGGCGAGTGAGCACGGGCGGTGGAGCTCAGCTTGACCGGCGGGGGGCGGGGGGGCTGCTCCGCGCGGGGAGCATTTTGTGGAGCGGCCAGCGGTCGTGGCCGCGACCGCTGGCGTGCGGCGGTCCCTCTGAGATCTTTTCTCAGTCTCTCATCCACATGTTCAGGTTGTGAGGTGGCGCGAGACTTCTCATTTCTCATGCATATGTGAATCCGACAAGCTCAAGCTTACTCAAACGACAAACCCCTAAAAACACGAATCACGATCTCCGCGCGTGGACTCCGAAGACCGAAGTCCGATCCCACGACACTCGGGCGCGACAGACACCAAACACCGTCGCCGAGTCCCGTCCGTCTCCCGAGGTCGCCGCGGGTCCGCGCCATAAAAAAAGATCGGATGGAGGTTCGCGGCGTGTGCCACCCGCGGGCCATGTGCATCGATGTCGCAGTCGGGCGCGCCTGTTTTCCTTTTTATCCCCCACCCACCCACCCACCCATCCCGCATCCGGCCGTTTCGCGTGTCGATCTCTCGAGGTTCTCGAGGTGGATATCCTTTGGCCGCGTTGGGTAGCGAGGATTGGTGTGACGCGATCCACGCAGGCGTGGTTTCTGACGGCCGACCGTCAGTGCACGGAGTTGCCCCTTCTCCGACTGCCCCGGCTAGTTCCCGGGTTTATCGCGGGAGTGACCCCATGCGTCAAACCCGCGACCTAGCGCGGGCGGGTTGGAGGGGGCTCGCTGCAAGGAAGGGCGGTGTATGCGGCCGATCCCCGTAGTCCGCCCCGCTCCTCCCCATCGGGCCGCATAAGCGGCCACCGACGCCTCGCAGATTCGTTTCTCGCGCCTGGGTCAGGCGCGCGTGTCGATCCGCGCGTAGCTATCTTCCAGGATTTGGCGCGATCTTGGAGCACTTGGTGCAGTCAGCAGCCTCACATCCAGGGCCGGGGAGCTAAGAAGCGCACCCAGCGGGCCAGATGATCGGGATCGGGCTACGGGCAAAAAGAAAGAATTTAAACAAAAGAAGTCTCTCTCACAGCAGACAGGCTCGACACAGGTGCGAACTGGCGCGTGCTAGTACTATCACAGGCACACAAAAAGAAAGAAAGAACAGAGCAACCAAGGGAGGGATGGGAGCGGACGGCACGCCGCCACCACACAGGGATTTTAAGGAGAGGGGTGTGATGCGCTGCCGTCGCCCACCCTTGGCCTTGGGAGAGACCCCTAAAGCAAGGGATTTTTTTCTTCGAAAGAAAAAATATAGATCGGTGAATATACATTGTGCACAATATTCCATACATTGTGCACGGCGCGGAGTGTTTTGCCGTTCTTAACGGAGTCGCTTAGGCGGCTCCGGTGGTGTGTGTGCCAGTCCGCGCCAGTCTGCGCCCTTGTCGTGCCAGTGTGCTGTGAATAGAGGCCCCGATTGTTGACGCCGAATACGCTCCGCGGGCACACCAACCAAGTGAACTGCGTGGCGGCGGCGGACGACGGCCACGTCCTCACTGGCTCGGGCGACAAGGCCGTCAAGGTGTGGCGCGGCGACGAGCTCGTGCGCACCACATCTGTGCACGTACATGTATGGAAGGCTTTGCTGCCACCGCACGCGCCTCGGACGACCTTGCTCGCCACCTGCCGCTTTACCCGCCAGCCTCGGCCAGCAAGCTCGAGTCGGTCCTCTTCTGGAGCTTACACTCGCTCGCGACCGAGCCGGTGCCAGAGTCGCCGGACGCCGTCATCGACCTGCTCGAGCGGTGGTCGCTGGTCGAGGAGCGGCACACCGCACGCGTCGCCGCCAAGGCCGCGTCGCCTCGGCCGGCGTGCTCGCGCTCCGCCAGCTTCGGCGCCGCCGCGAGCGACGGCAGCGCCGACGGGTGTGGCGCTGACGGCGGCAGGGCGGGCTTCCGAAGTTGGTTGTCGCCGCTCCGGCCCTCCCCGTCCGTCGTCGGCGGAGGAGGGTGGTTCTCCGTGCTGACGGCCGAGGAGCAGCGGACCGGCTCGCCCCGCGGCCTTCCCCTCCGAGAGCTGTCCTCCTCCTCCTCCGCCTCGGGTAGCCAGCCCGGCTGGGCGCTGCCGCGCAGCCCGCTGCAGGCGGCTGCGTTTGCGCCTCTCTCCCTCTTTCACCGGGCGTCCGCCTCTCGGCTCACTCTCGCGCCTCTCTCTTAGACGCTGCGGCGGCGCCTATCTCTGGGCACGCTGAGCACCATCCTGCCCGCCTCCATCGGGACGATGCTCGGATCGGTGAGGGATGGCCGAGGGGATGGCCGAGAGATGGCAGAGGGATGGCAGAGATGGCCGAGAGATTCCCCGCCTCTGGTCCGAGAGATTCCCCGCCTCTGGTCCGAGAGATTCCCCGCCTCTGGTCCGAGAGATTCCCCGCCTCTGGTCCGAGAGATTCCCCGCCTCTGGTCCGAGAGATTCCCCGCCTCTGGTCCGAGATTCCCAGCCTCTGGTCCGAGATTCCCCGCCTCTGGTCCGAGCCCTCTTCTCTCCCCTCCCGCGTCGTCCCTGGTCAGGCCACCAACCTGCTCGAGCTCTCCAACCTGAGCGATCTCCTCGAGGAGGGCGATGAGGCGGACGGCGGAGGGGAGGGCGGAGGGGAGGGCGGAGGGGAGGCCAGCGAGGGAGGCCAGGGAGGAAGGGGAGGCGAGGGAGGCGAGGGAGGCCGAGGGGAAGTCTTGGCCAAGGACGGTGCGACGGCCTGCGCGCTCGAGTCGCTGCGCCACGCGAATGGCGCATACTCCCTTCAGCGTGACGGTCAAGACAACCCTTCCATAGGCCCCTCGAAGTCGCTGCCCCCCCCCGATTTGGCCCGCGCCGTCTGG